TTGGTCTTCAACACTAAGACAATCTAAAATTAAGCTTAAAAAGCACAAAATATGTTAAGAGAAAAAATTAACATATTATAGTATTAATAAAATAATCAATGTACTCCCCAAATCCTCTTATTAAGAGTGTCAATTCAAACACTACTGAAAATAAGTATTACATTTTGTCTCACTTTGAATTAGCCCTTGGGTAGTATTTTGTCAAACATTTCCAGTTTAGACTGGAATCTGTAAGTTGAGTGGGACATACAGGGAGTGAAGTCCTTCTCCTTGGACTACACCAGTAACCTAACCTTCCAAGTACCTCATCTGCTTTACCACGGTTGTCAGTATTTCTACCCTCTTGATGAATAAATTTACAGAAACAACATCCTGAATTACCTGTATTAACAGGGGACAGACAGGAAAAGGGGATCTGGTGGGCTGTGGCCAGTATTCACCCATTATTGAGTCCTCAATTCTTCAAAAACAGAAAGGAAAGAAATAAATGGAGTCCAATACTGAACACAAAAGCTGAAGTTCGGGACTGTTTACCTGGAAGAAAGGAGGCCTGAGGAGAAGGTTGCGACACCACCAGGCAGCTCAGAGCATTGGAGTATGCCATGATTCGGCAGTTTCCTGTCTGAGACACTGTGAAGGTCTTCTGGAAGTGGTACTTGTGCTGGCCCTGGCTTGGGGGCAGGCACCTCAGGATACCTGCTTGGGAGCCACTGGGTTGCTGCATAATCTCATCCCGATGATTCAAAATAAGTTTTTGCAAGTCCTAAAATGAAAAAGATTTTATAAATGCAAAGCTTTTTCATTTGACATTCCCGTAAAGCACAATTCCTTGATCGGATACAGGAAGATTTCTTATCCTTTATGTGAAAATGTTAACACAAATAATAGAGAACTATTGAGTTTTTACAGTATTTCGACAAGCAACTGAAATAAGGAGCACACAGAACCATGAGATATTAGGGTTTAAAGTCCTTAATGGTCATTTTGTCTGAAGTCCTCGTTTTATTGGTAAATTCAGGGAGTAAAGTGACTTAAACAAGTCTAGAATTCTCATCTGCCTGTTTAATTTTTCCTAAAATTCGGGTTATAGATTTCATCATAAATTAAGTTTTAGACAGATGCCCTAATCAGAAATAAAGAGTTGATCATGTTTATTTCCTAAATAACTTGCAAATCCTGTTTGTAACCTAAGTAATATTTAGATTCCTCTTCAATTCCTATTCCAAAAGTTCTTTGGGTTAGAAAGGACAAACTTACCTGAACACGACTATGTAGCTTAGTGCACTCATCAGTGAGGACCTGAAGTTGGAGCCGGCACTGTGCCGATTCTAGCTCGGCCTGCTTTCTTAGCATCTGCTCCTTTCGGAGGGAACTAGAGGGGGAAAGTCAGCAACAAGTGGGGATTAAGAAGGCTACAGAAGACTTCCCATCAGGATGGCACACAGCTGGGTGCGGCACCTCACACCTATAAGCCTAGCTCTCTGGGAGGCCAAGGCAGGTGATCGCCTGAGGGCAGGAGTTCAAGACCAGCCTAAGCAAGAGCAAGACCCTGTCTCCACAAAAAATAGAAAAATTAGCTGGGCACGGTGGTGCTCACCTATAGTTCCAGTTACTAGGGAGGCTGAGGCAGGAGGATTGCTTGAGCCCAGGAGTTTGAGGTTGCAGTGAGCTATCATGACACCACTACACTCTAGCCTGGGCGACAGAGCAAGACTCTGTCTCAAAAAAAAAAAAGATACAGTAAGTTTACACTATGATACACATACTCTGCTGAAAATATGTCATGAAAGTGAATAAAATATAAGAGAAAAATCTCTCGAGTCCAAAAACACTACATTAGAGTAGCACGTAGGACTGAATTTAAGAGCCTACTGGGCTTTGGTGTTAAGCAAACACCAGAATGGTCAGGAATTTAGCTCCTGCTAGGGAATGGGGACTAAAAATGCTATAGGCAAAATGAGGGAATAGAACCAACTCAGTGCTTGCCTGACCTAAGGCAAATTATAAAAGATTAAACTAATACGTTAAAAGATCAAGGTTATCTGTTGGATTAAAAGAAAATAATAAGCTGTTGGTTGTTCATGAGAGACTCAAATAATACACATAAAAAACGCTTAAGTTAAAAAGAAAGTACATACCAAGCAAATGCTAACAAAAGCAAAACCAATTAGAATTATGGAAAAAGCATAAATAGGCATAAAAAAGAACAATGTCTCATAAGAGGACACATTCACCAAGAATAGCAATCATGAAAACAGTTTCAAAAACAGTTTCAAAATATAAAATGTAAAGACAGAATTTCAGTCTAATAAGATATGAAAGAAAAAGATCTGAAAACTAGAAAGAAAGATATTTATTTTCATGAAAAACTCAAGAGAACACAGTAACACAGAAACTTTTAGTTTAGCAAGGTCGTTGGAATCAAGATCAAGAAAATAGGAGCAATGGCATCCCCTACATACCAGATGGTAACTGATTAACCTAGGCTATGTGGTACATAGTCTACTGCTTCAAGGCTACAAACCTGTATAGCATAGCAGGTTACCGTGCCGAATACTGTAGGCAACTATAACACAATTGTAAGTACTTGTGTTATCCAAATATATCTAAACACAGAAAAAGTAATGCTTTGCCCTATGATGTTACAATGACTACAAAGTCACCAGGCAATGACTTTTTCAGCTCCATTATAATTTTTTTTTTAGACTGACTCTCACTCTGTCACATGAGCTAGAGTCCAGTTGCATCATCATAGTTCACTGCAACCTCAAACTCCTTGGCTCAAGGCATCCTCCTGCCTCAGCCTCCCAAATAGCTGGAACTACAAGGCTATTCATTAGTCTCTATTGGCATTTTGAAATTTTTCAGTTTTTCTGAGGAGGCTAGAGAGCACAATGATTACAGTGATCAGTGAACTGTTTTTTAATATAATCACTCATTGACAGCCACATCTATAGATTTTGCCTTTCAACAAAATTCCTCTTGCTACATATCTGCCATTTTAAAATGCTACAAATGCATTTCTCCATCAGCCAGGAAGGATGTGTTGAGGAGGTTGCCATACCCATCAAGCACAGTAACGATACTTCCTTAGCAGCTTCTAAAGAGGTAAAAAAAAAACAAAAAAAAAAAACCAGTAACTACCATGGCTTTCAGTGCCTTGACAAAACCTCAAAAGCATGGCCTCCTGGTCAGGTGTCTGCGGTTTCATATTGTTTGAGCATTTGTCCCTGGGGGTTGCAGGTTTCCAATAATGTAAGTTTGCTGTAGCTGAACCAACAAAGGAGGGATATGCAGATTTCTATAGAAATTATGATTCTATACAAGGAGATGAGGAAGGCTGGTATCTGTCAGAGTGCAAAGTGATTTTGGAATATAAAAAAGTACTTTTTTTAAAAATTATTTTTATTTTTTTAAGGCTAGTCAATTAAAGTAGTGGGAGTGGAGAAAATAATTTTTTGGGTTGATTTACATAGAAGTTTGTCATTAACCTGTGTTCCTGAGCTATGAATATGTGGGCTGAAGAATAGTTTCTCTTGATAAATAATTAACACATTTAAAAAAATTAAAATGCTACTAATATTTATTGAAGTAAATGAGTAAAAACAAATAAGGAAAAAAATTAAAATCCCCTATACAATGACTACTTGTATTTTCCTTTTCTACTTTACTAAAATGCAATCACACTAACAATGTGTTTTCACATAACATATTATGGGCACTTCAACATCGGTTTTAATGAATGTGCAGTATTCCATCACATGGATATACCAGTTCCCTCAACCAATTAATCCCCTAGCCTTGGATTATTAACAGTGCTAAATGGAATATCATTAAGAAAATCTTTGCACACACCCTTAACTGTTTCTTTAGAACAAATGTCTCAAGAATTACTAGATCAAAGCCTTTCTTTTCTAAAGGCCTTTCAAACATATTGTCAAGGGCTTTCTAAGCGATTTTGTCTGTGTACATCCTAATCAGTAAAATGTGAGAGAACCCATGTCCCTGAAATTCTCTCAATGGTGGGTATTTTTATTCTTTAATGTTCTTAAAGCATATTTTAAGTGATGTTATTAGCAATCATCCATGGGCTTCCAAAATCTTGATAATTTTTTTGCATTGCACTGCATGTGCAAAGTCTTTCCCTTATGAGTCTTCAGAGTAGAGAGCTGTTCTAGTGGGGAATCAGGGACATAAGAAGCAAAAATGGCAACAGTTAAGTAACATGCCAGATTCTCATTTTTCGAGTCCAACGCCTTAACCACTTGGCCATCGCAGCCACCAGATTCTCATTTTTATGGAGCACAAACCACGCAGACTTCCCTCAGAAGATGATCAGACATAAAATTATAAATAACAGTGTGAGACAGACTGCCAATGACCCCCAGAGACCCCAAGTCACAAATCAAGTAAAGCCTAAGAGTTACTCATACCTCCTTTTCCAGATGTGCCTACAAAGAACTAAAAGGGAACACTGCAGCTAGAGACACTTTCACTACCTACCTTTTCACACGTTCCTGTTCACTAGTGTCCAAAGCTCTCAGGGTTCGGGCATAAAGGACAACGATGTCACTGTGCTTGGCTTTCTTGTTGCACTAAAGAGGCCAATAGGACAAAATTAGTGTGGTGCTAGGAATTCTCCTAACATGTGGGTCATTACCTATGGTCCTTACCTGGGGACATTTTCGTGCTTGTCCCTTGAGCCACTTAGAAATGCAACTATACCCAAAGAGGTGCCCACAGCGTAATGCTGCGAGACGGTGGTCCCCGGCGTTGGTCCACTGTTCCAAACATATTGTGCAGGTTTCCCCTTCGTCTTCATCCATAGAAGCAGAAGGCAGAAGAGAGTTGGGCTTCTGGGGAGACTGCTGGTGGATGGAACCAGAATACATTCAAATTAGAAAAAATGCAAAATCAATCTTGAAGAGAATGTGCAATGCTTACACCAAATTAACAAAAGTGCACAAAAATAATACAAACCTAACTGAAAAGGCTGCAGAAAAACTGCAACACCTATGAGTCACTTATTCTTTCTAGAATGCAATCTGGCAAAATGTAATACAAGCTATGAAAATACTACTACTCTGTGTTCCTATGAAATTCTTATCTTTTTCTTCATTCAAATGAAGAAAAGCAGCTATCTGTACAAAGATATAAAAAAAAAACAAAACAAAGAAACCCTAGCAACTTCCAAAATAACCAAAAACGGGGAATAGTAGGTTCATTATACATTCAAAATTAGGTTCATTATCAACTCAGGTAGCTCTAAAATATTTAGCTCATATGAACCAGAGGGGAAAAAAACAAAGGAAAACAAAGCAAGGATATAAACAGCTTACAAGGAATACAATGGTCAATAAAGAGACTATTTTTCATGTATTAGATTGGTATAAGTTGATGTCTGATGACACCAAGCACTGCTGAGGGTGAAGGAAAAACGAACATGCTTACTTACATACTGTTGCTGTAAGTATAAAGTGGCACAAATTTGTAGATGGTAATTGGTATTATCTATCAAATTAAAACACCTATCTTTCTTTGCCATAGCAATCTCTCCACTAAAAATATACCCCATGGATATATAGCCATATGTTGCTTAACAACAGGGATATATTCTGAGAAATGGATCAGGTGATCTCATTGTTATGTCAACTTAAGAGTATACATACTTGCATAAACCTAGATGGTACAGCCTACCACACACACCTAGGCCACAAACCTGTACATCATTACACTGTACTGAATACTCTAGCGTAGAGGACATTTTGTCTGGGAATGTTTCCTTGTTGTTTTTCTCAGAACATGCCTGTGGGCTTGTGCACGAGCCAGGGCGCCCTAACCCTGTAAACAGAAGGGGCTAGAGAGTTCAGATACAAACATCTGCTCTCCGGAGACGAAACAACAAGGAACGGGACGTGCTGAGTCGGGACAGTGTGGGAACAAAGAAATTGCGGTGGGACAGTTGCCAAAGAGGCTGTGTTAAAAATAAAGATGCTGCAGCAGGAAGGCACTGCAGTCTTGTACCGTCTTTGTGTGTGTGCGTCTCTTTGTCTCTGTGTTCATTCCTCGTCCCTAGAAACGGGCCACGAAACTCTAGGCAACTGTAACACAATGGTAAGTATTTGTGTTATCTAAATATATGTAAACATAGAAAAATATGGTATCATCATCTTATGGGACCACCATTATATATGTGGTACAATATTGACTGAAACATCGTTATGTAGTACATGATTGCAGTCAAAATATTTGCTAAGAAAATTGTACAAGGGTGTTCAGTGCAGCATGACTTTTATCAGGAAAAAAA